CTTCTTTCTTTTTTTATTTCTTCACCTACTTTTGAAGTGTTTCTGAGAAGCTGGAGTATCAGCAAGCCAAAATCAAGAGTTGTATCAGGAAATAGTTACACAGGTCAGAAAGGCCTGAAAAAGCAAGAACTTTGATCATGGGCATTACAGTTGCTTAGATGTGCTCTGGAGTTAGAAATGTGAGCGAGCAATTAAAAGATACATGTTTTAGGCATGAGTACAGTACTGTTTACTTACATGGTTTGCTGAGCAGCCAGCAAGGTCCAAGGTTATTTTGGGCTCAGCATGAGTAAGTGATCCAGGTATGACAAATGAGGTAATGCATTCCAAGCTCATTAAAAACTCTTGGCTGCACCACTGATTCTGACAAAGTGCCAACATAGCYTGACCTCAGTTGTGTGAAGGCCACTATGTTTTTTAACACCCTCCCTATAACAACAAATCTTTTGCATCGGCCAAAATACACGCATGTAGAGAAGTGTTATTGGGAGGGTTGAACTCACTGGACTTCCAGTGATAATCAGACTCATTAAAAAGAGGTAATTTTTCAATATCTGACCTGCTAAATTCAGGGACCCCAAAACTCTAGCCATTGTCTCTTGATTTATTTGTGCYTCTAGAAGTGGTCTCATGTTCCCAGTATTGGTGTGGATGTAGCTCAGGTGAGGCTGACCTGTAAGAGGGAGATGGTAAGCGCTGTGGTCACTTCCCCATCCTGGACACAGGAAGAGTGGATAGCAGGTGGATGTGCTGTTTTCCTGTGGCAGCCTGTGCTTTTCCACTGTAGGTAGTGTTAACGGTCATGGTCGACTTTGGCAGCTCCCACTTTCGGGTTCTTCTCTTTTCCCTGCAYAGAGCTTGCCTTTCTTGGGTTAAAACCAGAGCTGGGACTTGTTCTAGGCAGTGAGGCTTGGAAATGCTTCTGTTTCCCGTGTCCTGCTGAGCAGGCAGTATCTGTGAAAGTTGAACGACTGAGGGTGGTAGTGTCTGGAGAACAGTAGCCACAACCTTGTGAATTTTCTGAGTAGGTGAGCAGGGTAGCTGTCCTCTCCCTYTGCTTCTGACCTGTCACAGTCACCCACAATTATCCTGATGTTTGTCCAGATTGGTGAGAGTGCTGGAGGGAAAGATGTAATTTTTGAGCAATGATGTTTTGTGGCTTCATKAACAGAAAGAACTTCTGGCTTTGAGGAAACATATAGCTGCCCTGAGCATTCGCCTTGAGCTCTTCTCTGTGGCTCTGTGGGTCAGAGCTGAGCATATCTGTGATTGCTGGCCTTTATTTTTCTGTGCAGATGCCTCTGGAYTGTCCCTGTTTGATTACTGTAGTCTGTAGGCAGCTGGTGCAAGAACAGGCTTTGGGAGAGTCGGGTCAACTTCTTACTAGGATATGTTTAGACAGCAAAGATTTGCCAATCTACATCTACAGATAWTCTAACTCATCATGCTATGCATGACACAGACTTTGCATTTAACCTCTCAGGTGTGACAGTTTGCAGTAGAAACATGTAGGGCATTGCTGGTGTTTTGGCAGTACAGAGCACAACCCCGGTTTGGGGACTCCTCYGAGCTCAAGGAGTGTTTGCTCGTACTGCGTGCATTTTGCAGCTAGCTGTGTTTTACCTGGCCATACCTGAAAGGTTTGCCAGGACTCAGCAGGTGACAGGAGTGGGAAAACACCACACATTGGCAAAAGGCAATCATGTTGTCAAATGCACGGAAAGGAAGTTTCTTAACTGGTACTGTGTTGTCTCTCTCATACTCCTGTTACAGGCACTCACACTTAAAGAGGTGGCAAATAATGCAAACTTTTTTCTGCACTTATTTATTCATTTTTTACTTTAATTTTCTTTGCTTATGTTCTCACCTTCTGGGAATGTGCAAGTTATCAGGTCTCACTGCTGCAAATGCTTTCAGAAAATGAATTTGAAAGCCATATGCACAAACGTGAAGAGATTGAATCATTTTGGATATTCTTAGGTAGTGATGCCAGAAGTCCTTCTCCACTAGAAAACAGAAAAAATAAAAAATGTAGGATACTCRCTTAGCTGTCCAGTACATAATGAACATCCAGTGTCATCAGGAAAACTGACTGTGACTAAGCCACAAAATGTAAAATTGCTTTAAAATAATTATGAATAACAAATTCAAGACATTTGCAGTGTGCTCATGAATATGTCAAAAATTAAACAAAAGATGACAAAATTGAAACATGAATGTGACTTGTAAATTCTTTCTTCAGTCCTAGTCATATTTTCTAGCTTACACGAACAAAACAAATGTCACTGAAATGCAATAATCTTCAAATAATGCCTTTATTTACAATGATTTAGCAAGCAAATATTAATGGCTTTGTTTCAAATGGGACTGGAACTGTGTCAGATGTTTTTTTTTACAGAGACTAGATGCAAGAACCTTCTCTTCTAGTATTAATTCTTATTGCTGCTTTCTTGTTAATTGTGTGTCAGGTCTGGAGTGACTTTGGGTGATTTAAAGTCATACCATGGGATGTGTGGGATAGTCGTTGTGTGTGCTGCAGACAGACCTTCCCTGCTGCAGCTCCTGAGCCACGGGGAGAATGCAAATACCCCATTTCACAGTGGGTTTGTGCCAGTTCTGCCATGGAAGGCTCCARTTCAAACAGCGTTTGTATGCAAGCTCAATATACCTGGAATTTAGGAACAAATGCCTTCTTGCTTTTAAAGCTTTTAGCAAAACATTAGCAGTGCTTTATAGTGTGACAGTGCCAAAACTCAGGATAACAAGTATGTTTGAAAAACATTGAGCCTGGAACTAGTTTCTTTATTTGTTAAAAAGGAATAAAGGAATGAAGGAAAGAAAGGACAAGTAGTTCACATGCACATATATGAGATGGTAACTCAGGCATATCCCTCTGGCTATTGGTTGGGCCAGGCCTGGGGATCCTTTCATTCAGAGGTTAATCTTTTAACGTGTGGGCCAGGGTGTATTTAATTGAGGGGCCATTTCTATTTCTTTCAGTAACTTTTTTAAGAAGATGCGACTGCTGAGGCAGACCATGATTAAGGATCTGTCCATCCCATCCAGGTCATGTGCCAAAAAGCCCCTGTAGGCATCAGGAAGGCATSAGAGGTTGAGCGGGGTTTATAAATAAGGCAGGGCCATGTGGCCAGGGCTGGCAGTCTGGCAGCCGGCGCTGGAGCCCTCGGAGCTCATCCCACGCTCCCGCCGAGTCGCTCATCTCTGTTTATATGAGTAATGGAGCGGCTGGGGGAGGGGATTTGTAAGCACGGAGCAAATACTCTTAGTGTTCATTTTGTGTGAGACTGACATCCACACCMAGTCGAGAGTCACGGCGACGTAGTGTGCAGTCACATGCTGTAGCATTCATGAGTACAGATATAAATCAGGCAGATGTTTGTCGACWGGAATGGGTAATAATTTCTTTCTCTCTTTGTTTGATTTTGCATGTTAGCCTCAGATGACAATTTCACAATTGCTTTCTGCCGTACTTTTCAATAAGCAGAATGTGCTTCACTGGAGATGGATGGAGATATTTCTATAGGGAGATAAGCATATTTTTAGACAGACACAAATATGGACTTATTACACCCGTATGCACATGCATATATATATATATATATATATATATATATATACACACACACACACACACACACACACATATATATATATATATATATATATATATATATACACACACACACACATACAGATTTTTTTTACCTTGTGCCAGTGTTGGGGGAAGAAAAAAGATCTGACTTTTTATTTTAAACCCACAGCTTTTCTTTTTTCTCTGAACAGACCAAATATGACAGTGTTACTCAAACTATAAAATCAAATTAGCACCCTTTATTGTGTTTGCAAACTAATTAAAATGTAAAATGTCCTGAAACCACTGGCTTACTGTGTGACAAATGTAAGATTAGAAACAATTAGAAGACACTCGAGGTTTGTGATGTTTAGATTTCTGACATTGTTCTAATCATCCCTTTAAGTAATGAAAACAATGGTTACCTAGAAATTGAAGGTTTAAAGGAAATTATCTTACTCGGTACAGTCATTAGTTAATGATTGTTTATCATTTCAAACGTTGCCATAGTAGTCAGAGGCTGATTTTTAAATCTGAAAGCGGAGGGGACATGCAATAATGAGCAAACATCTGCTTCATCTATTATTTCTATATATGATCATAATTTATATTGTAATACTGCTATTGAAAGATGAGTGTGGTATTTTTTATGATGATCCATATCCCATTCCTCATATGGCTCAGCACAGTTAGGATTTAGTCACTCTGTTATTTCAGAGCTGTTTTATCTTAAGAATTGGACAAAACTGAAAGTGATTCATGTTAATTTGTATGTGTGGTATGTAGCCCTTATGAAACAATCAATCACTTATTTCAGTACTTGTCAACTTCCAGAACTAGTTGTTAAGGGATTTTTTTGATCCGTTTCAGGACTCAGGGGTAATTTTTAATTTTTTTCTTAAACTTTTTTAGGAGAACTTTGACAAGAATGACAGGATATATAAACATTTCTTGGAGCTGTAAGGAATTTCAATATTTCAGAGGATTTCCAAAGCCAGATGTTTCCCAAAGTTGGAAATTGCAGTTAACACTATTGCTTGAAGACTAGAAATAATAAAGGCAGCAGGGTGATTAATGCAAAGTTACCTATTAATATTCAATTTTGTTCTTTTTTGTACCATGGAGAAATATTTGTGCTTTCTCTCTGAGTCCTTAGGAGACCAGTGTTTGACTTTATATTAATTAGTTATGTGAAAGTAGAATAGATTAGCCTTGGGGGTTATTCTATAGAAATGTATAGTGTGTCAAGATGTAACCCATGGAGGATGGGAATCTCATAATAAGCATTTACTGTAGACAGATGTGTACATTTCTGTGACTGATTGTAGTGGAATTATTTATTATGCTTTCAGCTGTTAARAATCTGATAGAAGACAATGTGCTTAAATTGTTCTCCATTAATTTTCAGCGCCAAATCTTAAAGGCAGACCRCGCAAAAAGAAGCCATGCCCACAGAGAAGAGATTCATTAAATGGTATTAAGGATTCCAACAATAATTCTGAAAGCAAAGCTGTTGCCAAGGTAAATCACTTAATAATACTCTTTTTGGYACACTCTCCTTTTTTAGGTACAATCCTGTCTTTGTTTCCCAGCATGCGGTTTCAAATTTACAGTGTAACTTATTTTCTTGGGGCGATAAATGTAATTTTTTTCAATAGTTTTATTTTTCACTTTAAATCATGCCTGTGTTTTAAAGTTACCAGCAACTATAATCACCTAACAACCTAATGCTATCAGCTTGTTGGTAACTGGTAGTGCTTAAGCTTTCTTGGCATCTAGTGTTAGTTTTCACATTCTGTGACACACAAACATAGTTTGTGACAGTATCTTCAAATTAAAAATAAACCTGGGAGCCGCTCACCCTGTTACAGTGTGCTTCTAAATATAAATTTGAAGATAAACAGACTATGAAACAAGAGCTGCCTCAGTAATGGTTTCTAGGAARCAAACACAAAGGGTATTACCCTGATGTGAAGATCTCAACATTTTTAAATTAGGAAAAAAAAATAAAGGTGGAAATTCAGTATGAAAGCTTAAAAAATGTTTGGGCTGTTTCTTTAATACATAGCACTGAGTTACATGTTCCATGGTTTGCTGAATAGTGCATGCTTGTAGAGAGTCTTCTGTATTAGCTGCATTGCTTAGTCCATATTGCAAGTAAAAATGGGATCACTGATTAGTGTTTACAGACTTAATCTTTATGATATTTATGGGTTTGTGTCTTTTCCTTAAAATACATTAAAATGGAGTTTCTGTAGTGTAAATTGCATCCTATTTTCTATGTTGTCTGAGTGGTTTTAAATAGGAATTTGGTTTTCTCTTTAAAAAAAGAGCAGCATAAATGGCTTCTTTCAAGATGATTTAATTTGAAACTYTAAGGTGCAAAGATGGAAAATTACTTAGAGCAATACTTGATTTTTATCTGAGGCAGAACTTTGTCACTGATACTCCKAAGCTAAACAGCTGAAGAGGTTTGCATATACTGAGTTTTTACACCACCTCCTCCCAAATCTGTTGTTTCAATAAATTAGATGGATGTGTATCTGAAAAATGCTTTTATTATTGTGACCATCTCTTTAGGAAATACAGTGAATCTATAGATCCATTTGCGTTGGTATTGTTGTACACAGTGAATGTCCTGGGAGATTAGGAGGTTAAAGAGGTCAAGTGGAAGTGTTCTGCTCTCAGTTTCTCATAGGAAGGCAAATTAAATTCCACCTCCTCCTCCTCCCTAGGAGTTCAGTTAAAATTGTGCCTTCTGTTGATGATGATAGAAGAAGCTGAAGTTCATGATGAAGCTCTGCCCTTAAGTCACTGTTTTCTTCTTTTTGTGCCCTATTGTGCTCAGTTGGAGTCTGTGCTATCGTATTAGACAGGCGTGGTAAGAGGCGATGCAGCCTGGTGTGTTGAGTTGCGGGGTCCTGCCAGATACTATAGAGTTGGTCTGAATGTTTTCTCTGTGAAAGAGCATGCAAAATCCATTGTGTGAAAATGTCTCAATTTGCCTCAATTCCCCCTTCCCCCAAGCCATTTTTAATGTTAAAAAATTGCCAGWGAACTGTGGCATGGACCATATTGTCAAAGCACCCCAGACTGTAGCACAAGTAGTTCTGCCTCTTCAGCACCTGATATATAGATATTAGATAATTAAAAACAACAGTAACACTTCCTACAAAATTGCTTATCCTCTCTGTTTATATTTGGGTTCACACTACTAGTCAGATGGGAGGATATTTCAGATAAGAAGTAATTCCACCTATTTATCTAGTCACACTGTGCTCATCATTGTGCAGATATTAATAGCATTAATTATCTTGGCCAGCTTAATTTCATTATAAATAATAGACGTGCTCATGATATAATGTCTTCACATGTAGTCACACTGACTTCACTGTGGCTCTTCACATCAATCTGTGTCTCAGGGCTGTGGATACACTTCCATGAGAGGAGGACAGTGAAGCAAACCCTCTGCAGCAGATGTGATGCACTGTGTGCAGACCCTGCCYGTGGCTTACTGGGGAGGGAGGGGAAGGGTATTTAGGGAAGGGCAGGAATAGAGATCCACCTAGTGTCTTCTCGTTGCTGGGAGCAGTTGCCATGTTGTCAATGGAATCTCCATGTTGAACTTCACCATTGTTATCCTCTTCTGTAGTGCTCTGTCTCCAGCTAATGCTGACAAGTGGTCCATGGAGAGCAGGATTGAACACTGCTCATGCAAACAGGACAAATCCACTTGTGTCAGATGCTGAAGCATTTAGCGTCCTGGACATGTTCTTGTTCCAGATAAAATCCCTTCTAACCAGAAATTTTGCTGCTTGCATTCTCAGATCATGTCACTCAGTGTCTGCAGCAGCCTCATTTCTCAGTGACACGGCAACGGCTCTAACGGGGTTGCAGTGGCTGTGTGGTTTGGGTTGGGAAATGGCAAAAAGGGCATTTTGAAGGCTGTGATTTTGAGCTTGTCAAGACCCAGTGCAAGCTGCATGGTTGTCATGACTTGGTGAATTTCGTGTTTTCAGCTGCCAGTGACTGGAAAGCTTAATTCTTCAAATGTAGTTCTCATTAAGCATGTTTGCCTGGAACCACCAGCAGATYGTTTTGAGGGTTTCACAGTTACCTGGCAAGGAAAAGTGTCTGGTTGGGTAGGAGCAGCTCCAAGTCAATTCCAGTATAAGTGGCTTGTTAAAAATAGAGCGATAGCAGGATAGACAGTGCCGTCCTGGACCTGCAGGTGTGGCCAGGGAAAGTGGGTCTTTGATGTGCCACTTCTCACTTTCCATCTCTTTGGTGGTCCCTGCATCCATTTGAGTACCTCCTGGGGAAGATTCCGGGGGACTTCCCTCCCCGGCTGGGAAGGGAATACAAGGCCATCTACTCCAGCAGGACCAGCTCTCCTGGAGAGGAATATATCAAGCTCTTCTCTTGGAACATTCCCAGGATACTGGAGGCTTTCATATTTGACATGTCATCAGTGTTGGACAGGCTTTTGGAACTTGCAKGCTCCAGCGGATGACCCTCATCGTACCTGCTTCATCTTCCCAAAGAGTGTTCCCATTCAAAGTGTTCAGAAAGATGTTCTAACTGGCTCATCTGACCATTTTGAGGAACTGAAAGGATTAACTTGTTAAACACGGAAATTGTCCCCAAATGAATCTGTTCATTACATCTCCTAGTGCAAATGCTGAAGTAAATCTCTCATTTCATTTGTACAGCAAGATCTGGGAAATTGGTTTCAAAGCTGCYAGGATATGCTTTTTCTTTGGCCACAGGTGGCCTGGCATGCTCTCAGACATGGAGATTTATTCCGAGTGCCTTGGCCATTATTATGGAAACTGCAAAATGTAGGTCTGTTGTGGTCTCTGTTATGTGTAACCTCTGGCAGGAGAAGACAAACACACGGGTGTACCCATGAGTGTTCACCAGCCATTTGGTCATGGATCATCCACCTCTGATGGAACACACAGCAGGAAGTGGTCACATGTTCCAGAGCCCACTTGTGCACCCCCAGCTTAACCCAGCTGTGGCACTGGGTTTGTGGTGCTTGGTGCAAATCTGGCAGCATTCTCACTGGTTTTGATATGTTTATGCTGGATTTACACTGGTGTTACCCAGAATGACCTTTGGCCCTTTAGGTTCTCATTAATCATTGTCATGGCATTCATCCATATTTCCTGTCACCTGGTGGGGAGGTTCCCAAAGTGAGGCTTGGGCCTCAGAAGCTGAGCAGATGAAGCTTTGTAGCCTTCACCAAGGCTTTGTTAAACCTGACACTACTTGGAGCCCACCCATTGCATTTTGACACGTCTGAGTTCCACAGGGGCATTGACCTTGCTTCTCTGTGGACTGAAGAGAGGAAGGTTGTGTGTCGCATGGGTTTTTCTCACTCCTGGTGGCTTTTTTAATGTTACTTTGCCTTTGTATCCCAGAGGGTAGGATCCCTTGCCATTAGTTTGCTGCACAGCAGTGAGCTTTGATTTCAGTTGGAGTTCATGGCCAGGTTGTCTTTGCAAAAGTAGTTCTGAATTGTCTGGATTGAAAAAGAGAATCTAAGCAAGTGGGTGACAAAACTGAAAAATTGTTCCCAGGTYCAGTGAATTTTTTCCAAATTTGCAGCTCCAATTAAAAATCCTATAATTACTGAAGTCATGCATTCTTTTTGGGTATGCTGACCCAGTTTTAGGTGAAGCACTGAAACCTGTGACGCTGTAATCTAAACTTTATAAGCAGAAGCTGTTACATAATTTTTGTGAGGTGCCAAAGTAAAAAACGTCAAGGGATTACAGCTCTGATCTGAAAAGTGGATGAGGAAATGCAAAGTTGATTTAATAGAAAGAAAAATCCTGTTAGTTCCACTGACTTATGGATGAAACCCAGGATCTTTACAAAAGTTTAATCGACAGACTTATCTATAACTATAAGGCAAAGCATGGCGTTTTGTGCTTTAGGAAGACAATATCTCTTCAAACTGTGCAACTGGAGAATATCAAGCAGTACAGTGGGCATACTTGAGCAGCAAATGATCAAGACAAATCCSAGAGAAAGTCCCATTTCCCAGTTGCTGCTACGTTACCTGGGAGGAGTGAGCCAGTGCTCTGCAGTGACCTGTATGGAGGCTTTTCAGCAGCATCAGTTCCAATGGAAGATTGTGACCACATGTCCACTCTGGTTAGGAGCTACCATTGCTTTGTCCAGCATCTGTGGAAAACCGTAGAGGYGGACACCCTGAAGTCACTCCTTTTCTGCAAAGTTACTACCTGGAGGACTATAGAGATTTTGCTTTCCCTGAGCCTGAAATGCCAGAATATCTTTATTAAGATAAAATAAGCMTATCATGGTCTTTACAGTGACATGTTTCTTGATTGTTTACAAGCACTTACATAATGCTCTCCTTAGTTGCTTCCAAACTGTCAACAAGTATCCAGAAAGCACCTGTTTAAAAGTGACAGTTCTGAGGGAGGGTCCATGGAGTGCTTGACCAAGAACTCCCACTTCCTGCACAGCAAGATACCCTGCTCTCCTCTGGTGTCCTCCAAAAATTCCGAATATGGGCTCATAGAGTCTCCCTGCTCCCTCTGGGTGCACAAAGGATGTGTCTTGGATGGGGTATGGACCTGCAGAAGGCTCCTTACAGCACTCAGAAGTGTTGAAGGGACAGTGCAAATCGAAAATATATGTAACCCATCTCCACTACCTTGTATTAGAAAACTTCCAGTATTTCAATGGAATTGTATTGATCCCATACTCCAAGTGTCAAGCTTTTCAACATTAGGTTTCTGCTCTTTTTTTTTTTCTTGTACACATACCTTAAGTGAATGCTTGATTTGTAATTTGCTTGATTCAGTGAGAGGATTGTCTTCAGGAGGGGCTGCAGGATTAAGCCAGTCTCACTGGATGTTTTCCCYGTGTATGAATACTAAGGAGAGGTAAAGTGGTTCCAGTTTATTGATATCTGGATTGGCACACATCTGCTGGRAGTCCAGTGGGAGACCTGGAGCTCTGGGACTCATGTGCGTTGGGGCTGCCAGCTACCAGTAAAGGCTCCAGCTACCAGCCTTTGCCTTCTGCTAAAGGCTTAGGGCTGTACTCAAGTTTTAGCAGTTGYTCAAATCCACTTGACTTGAGTCCGTGCTGCAGCAGAACCTCCACTCGCGTGCTGAGGGCTCTGCCTGGGTAAAGCTTGCCAAGGTTTGCTTCTATTTTGGTGGGCCAAAGGAGAGAAATATGTGTCATTTCAGGGCTGGCTGCTGAGCATTCCTGGAAGGGGCTGAGCACCCTCAGCTCCAAGGATTGTCTACGGGAGTTGACAATGCTCAGTGTCAATCCTGGAATGAGGTTTATTATTAGACTTGCTAATGGCAAGTGTATGTGAGAGATGGAAGCTGTCTGTGACATAGCAATGTATAGTCATAAAAATGCAGATCTGGAGAGCATTACCAATGAGTTATAATGATTTAAAGATGTGGCTATTTAAAAATGTTGTGACTAAGATTCAGAGCAAGACATTTAGCTCTATAAATAGCTTCCTTTGTTTCCCCTCAAACACAGTCGCATGGTTTGGCCTTCATTTTTTTCAACAATCCATTCTGCTAGGAGAGGGTATTTATTCCTTAAGTGAAAATTAAAGGTTACCCAGATCTGATATGACATCTTTTCTTTTCCCAGGTAAAATGTGAGGCTAAGTCAGCTTTGCCCAAACCCAAGAGTAACAACAGCAACTGTAAGAAAGGCTCAAGTGAGGATAAATCAAAGATTGCCGTAGGTGAAGAATGCAGAGCTGATGAGCAGGCTTTCCTTGTGGCTCTTTATAAATATATGAAAGAAAGGAAAACACCAATTGAACGAATACCCTATTTAGGTTTTAAGCAGAGTAAGTATCCTTTTTCTCACTTTCTTGTTGACATTTTAGAATGGTTTGGCTTCTCTGGAGAAAAGCATTTGCACATGAAGCCTATTTTAAAGCCTTATGGATGGGGCGGGACCATGTATTTATCTACACATTTTCCAGTCCAGGCATTTCACTGTCTTATGCCTAGATTTGCATCTCTTCCTTCTGGGGTAGTTGCTGCCGGATATTTATAGGTTTAAATCCGCTGATTATGACTAGAAATAGGCATGTTGAAAACTCTCTAGTTTTCTGTTTTGTAAATCTGCAGCATCTGTAATGCCTTTCTTCTGAGTTAATAATATGACGTATCTTTATTGTGCCCAGATGTTCTTTATGAAAGGACAAATATTAAAGGAAGACATTTAAAGGTGGTCAAGAAAGGCACAAAAGGGATCGTATTTTAAAGTCCCAAAATGTGTTTATAGTTAATAAATTACTGACTTTGGAGAATAAAACCAGATTGTATCTGCTTAATACAGAATGCAGTGTTTAGAACTGCTTTGGCATGTAAAGTTTGTAGTGCCACAATCTGTAAATTAATTGTATGTGGAGAAGATATAGTTGAAACTGAATTTTGCATAAATATTGCAGCACAATGTACATCTTTCACAGTTTCCAACAAAAGCTTTAAATGGGGGTATTTTTCCTCCTTATCTATAGATTGAATTATACTTTATTTCCTTAAAGGGAAAACGCCATGGATTGAAATATTATTTACTCTAATTTATCTCCCAGATTAAAACCATGTGTTATTTTGATGAAGAATGTCAAACCTGTATGTTTTACATAATAATTTACATACCTAATAGCAATTGGCACTGATTGCAGCAGGCCTCCAGCAGCCATTATAAACTTATATAACTCCAAATGATTACAGTGTTTGTCTGAAAACTGGCTGCTTGAAATGGGAGTAAAATTAATGTACTATGAACAGCTTCGTTGCATTATGCATTGATTCAGATTAAATCAAGGCCTAAGCAAAGCTCTTGATAGCTGTGAAGCAGTACAAGGTTCAGTGAGGCTTTCAGAACATTTTGTGTTGAAAAAAATTGTTTTCCTGCCCCCCNCCCCCCCCCCCCCCCATTTTATTCTGCACTCCCTCAGGCATGGAGACAGGGGTGGGCTTAGAAGACAAACTAAAGTATTATTTCTAAAGTTGCCCACTGKGGGTAGGGCCCGCTGCTAACATTTAGTTAAAATACATTGAAACTTGCCTGACATTCATTATGAAGTAGGGGCCTGATCCGGCAAATAAATACCAAAAGTAAATACCAAAAGTAAGTATGCTGAGAAGAGCAGAAATGTTTGCAGGATGGGGCACTGTATTTGTCCATCAAGSCTTGTGCAAACATTGCCCATATAAATAGGTTAGTGGGAAGAGGTACTTCACTAACTACAGCAGAGTATCCCTCCGTGGAGAAAGATCCCATTCTCTGTGATACACAGCATTACTGCTGACCTCAAATATTTGTAGTGTGTCAGTGGGGAACTGCTGTTTGTGGAATTGTGCATACACCTTTCATAGGGCTGACATGATTTTTTCTTCTAACAATTAAATGAGATAAAATAAAAATTGAAATAAATGAAATAAGACTCCAGCAAGCAGTGGCACCATGGGACAAGCACGTGAAAGGGGAGAAGTTCTGCACGAACTAACAGCTCTCTCCCAACACATCTTTTGAATTGAGTTGCCTCTGCGCCTCWGACCCCACAGCCGTGGGCAAGGCACAAGCAGCCACATCATAATTATTGCAGTAATGCTCATTCGTGCTCCATCTGGGTTCATTCACGCAGGACCTGCTAGAACGCAGCTTATTGTTCATTGATTATGGAGCCCATTATCTGAGCTGCAGTAAATATTGGGTGYTGTCTAATCGATAGGCCTGCGCTGTGAGCCAGTGGGTGGCTCTTGCTTGCTTGCTAATGAAACCAGTATTAAACAAATAATTAAAAGTAGCATTCTTCCCAATGAGCAATTTTTATTATCAAAGTTATGGAAACATGCTACAGTCATTATAACGTGTCTCTTATCAGCAAAGTCAAATGAGCCCATTACCTTTGTCTCAGTGTATTTTTCCAGTCCTGTTAAGGAATCTATAAGTGTGTTCTCATATATGTAATTAAAAATATATATGGTATGGGCTAATATTTACTCTTTGGATTATGTGAATACCTCTTTGGAAAATGTTTCRCAGGAACTTTTTCAGGGGCTSTGAGCTTTTTTTCTCTACTTTTCTTTTTTTAAAACTGTTTAATTTACATTTCTTTGAAATATGTTGGCTAATGCAATGCTTATCTAAATACTTATTGTCCCTCTAACAGTTAACCTTTGGACTATGTTTCAAGCTGCTCAAAAACTGGGAGGATATGAAACAGTAAGTGTTTAAGTAACTTAAATGAAATAATTGTGCAATCTAACTTTTCCCTGTTAGAAAAAAAAAAGGTAAAAGCGAACAATCATTTGCTGCATTTTAGGCTAGCTGTACTCATTGTGGGTTTATTGGACCATTTTTGGAAACGGTCCCAATTAGTTCCAGATTTGGCAAAATTGTAAACTTGTCGTAAAAACTACAAGTGGAAAACATATGTAACTCTTCCCTGTCAAGGAAATTAGTTGGGTCTGTAATTTTTTCCCATGTTGAGAAAGGGCTATTATTGTACAACAAGCCAAGATTGCATAAAAGAAATTTCACTTGGCAACATCCCTGACATCTGTTCATGTCTAATATGGGAAATGTATTAAAGGCTTTCAAAAGTAATCAGCATTGTCCATTAAGGAATAGTATGCTGCAGAATCTTCTCTTATTCCAAGTGTAAAAGTTCTTTATTAGACAAGGGTCAGTACCACATAAACAGGAAGTTATCAAAGTAATTCAGAAAAGTCTCTGACACTTTTTATCAGCTAACCATATCTGACAAGAGCAGTTTATTTTTAGCTCACAGGAAAATTTGATGGCCACGGATTTTACAGCATGTATTTTGAACCAATAAAATATTAGAGCAACAAACTTAGATTAAAATCTTGAAATGAGAAGAAAGAGCTGCATTAATATGGCACATCGAGATGACATCTGTAATAAAAAAACAATTGACATAGGAAGATGTCGTCACTGGAAATATTTTCTTTGCACACAATGATCAGATTAAGTTGTTCAGTTCCTGCCACAGTTGGATGAAAGAAATTATTTTTGCTTTGTTTACGAAGTAATCTGGGACATATCTGTGCKGTAGAGAAATGACAAGGAGAAATGCACTATCAAGAAACTGAAAGTCATTTGAACCAAAATGCAAAACTCACTGTTTTCCTTCCATACAATAAAGCACATTGTTCTGTACATCAGCAGCCTGGGCTGGTTAGCATGGGCGTGCCTGGGATTTTGTGAAACGTGAAATCTAACATTCTTAAAAAAAATGTATGCTTGATTTGGCTTTTATTGTTGCTCTATCTTTTATTAATCAGCACATACCATGCTCATTTACAGGGGTGTGTGTAGGCGTGCTCATGGGTATGTATGAATGAATAGCTACCACAGATAGATTGTTACAGCAGTTACAAGCCAAAAGGAATTGCATGAGTTGTAAAGTGCWACAAAAATGAGAGCTAAAATCTTGAACTTGATCAAGAGCACCAGGTAGTGCCAGGAGGGAGATTGAAGGGAGAGTGGYGTGTTCAGAGTGGTCAGGGAGGCGAGCAATTTTCACAGCAATGKTTTGGGTTTGCTTGAAGGGACCGAATACAGAAGCAGGGACGCCAGAGTGGTGGCTTGCTGGAAAGACCTGAGTTTTAGTGCCAGAGGGAGAGGGATGGATTTAGACATGCAGGTGAGCCTCTGTACCTGGGGCAGAGCAGCAATASGATTGTGAATTTGTGGCCACAAGGCCAGAGAGCCAGCTCTGAGAAATGTGACAGGATCAGAGGGGAAGGATCACATACGTGAGAATGTCAGCCAGAGAAGCTTCAGTCCACACTTRTCTCAAAGCTCCTGTCCTTTTCTCAATGACAGATGTTCTCTGTTGTTTAGGGGCATTTGTCACCTTGAATTAAAAAGTACCAGTGGTGCTTCTTCTTCATAGAGGGTAAACTAAGCAATTGCTTGCTGTTCAGTAAATGGCAAGGCAAGCACAACTCACACCCTCTGACATAGCCACAAGCCCAGCTTTGGTTGGGAGTGACTGTGTCTGAAACGATGGGCCTGATCCTGGTTTTATGATGTGAGTGGCATCTGTGCTCTTTGCAGACAGGCTGAAGTTGGGAGGACTGTTGTGAAGCAATTTAAATGGTATATGGAGCATGAGGTTTCCAAACTTCATTCTCTTCTGTTAACAGTCTCATCCTCAGTATGGATCTGCCTTTGCTTTAAATTCCCTGAGTATTATATCGATAGCTGTTGCAATACTTTGACCTGTGCACACCCTGGGTTTTATCATTTTATGGCCAGTTGATATTCATTGAATTTGCCAACTGCATTCGTTTGTATATATTTTATAATGGCAAGCGTTGCTGAGAAGCTTTTGATGTTTTATTTGTTTCATTTTTCACAGGGTTGGGGTGACACCAACCTCAGGTATCAGTTCTAGGATCTTAAGCGGGTCTATGTAGATGCAGAAATTTCAAGTGAGTGCTGTAATTCAGTGTTGAGCAGATTCCACCACTCATACACAGTGACACCATCTATTGATGAGGAGAAGTCGTGCAGTACAACAGCTTTCTCAAACCTATCCTATCTAATATGCATTTATCTCTGTGGCCCCTTCCACCTAATTAGAGCAAACCATTTATCCACTAGTAGGGCTTCATCATCTTTTATTGGTTTTAAAATTTCACAAGTTTCTGATTTGTGCATTGAGACAGAAATAGGTCTTTTTTTCTTTGGAAGTATTGTAAATTATAAGAAAATAATATTTAAAAGTAGATATTTTACTTCAACATGTGACAGCCATTTTATGAACGGGAAACAGATAAAAGATTGGTTGAAATCACATATGGAAAMTTAAAGTGGTCAGATGACTATTTCTTTACAAGTAAGCATAGAAACCTTCCCAGTTAAAGCAGTTGCAAACTTTACATCCTTGTATTTGGCTAAACAATTTTGGTCTGTTCATTTTCAATTTTATCCACTGCCTTGTCCACTTTGTTCATGTATGGATGTTTTGATGGGGTCTAAAAAACATTTTTGAGAAACAAGCAGAGATCATGTGTGGTGTTTTTCCAGTCATTTCTCCTCCATTTGATTACTAATTCTTAGTAGTCAGTTGTCATCTTTAATTGTGTGATACCACACTCCCTTGTAATTCTTGTTGGACGTAGTACACACTTAATAAAAATGGCAACCTATACAAACCGGTTTAAAGCCTTAACAGATGRAGCTGTCTCTTTGGAGTTGGTGGAATCATACTTTTCTTAAACAAAGATATGTGAAATGAGTATATTTGTTACTAATAGTAAGAGAGTGCATTGGAAAGCACTCTCTATAGCAGATCTTCTCAGTGTGAGTGATTTAAAATGTCCCCAAATCGCTGGATGAAGTACGAGACAATGCCATGTTCTAGAGACAATGCCATGTTCTAGAGACAATGCCATGTTCTAGGGGGCTCAGCTGCAGTGGCATTTAACAGCCATTGCCTGGAATTCTCTCAGTCATCCTAAGTCAAGTGAGTAAAAGGTGCAGATGTTCATAGATGGGAAGCTTCCAGGACTTACCTAAAATGTTGTCTTGGCAAGTTATGAAGTAGCATTTCTCCTTTGGAGCCAAGGCAAAGGGAGTGCCTTGGCATGTTTGCAGAATGCAATGCTGCTGAATGGACTCTGCRTGGAGATGTCTTAGAAAGATGAAGGGTAAAAAGAAAATTAGGTGGAGCTTAACCTTCAGTGTGTATCAGCTTGGATTTTGCCAAAGGTCAGTGGGATCTCATTTAGCTGCTGCCTCCTGGAAGCAACAATAAAATGCTTTAGTTTTGGAAAATTGGTGGTTGACACATACAACAGTGCCTGTCTGGGCAGGCCCAAAGAAACTGGTACATCAGTGGAATGCAAAGCTAACTGGGTTTGTTTCATACAAAACTAATACCCAGAGCTCTGAAGAGAGCTGTRAGCATCATGTACCATGAAAATCCCCCATTATGTTTACAGCAGGAAATAAGCAAGAAGCCTTTCACAAGGAAGGGAGCTGGGAGCTGGGATTGCAGTGCAGAAGTCCTTAAGACTTCTCAAAGTAGAAGACACCATTAAAAGCATRTGTGTAAACAGTCCTCTGCTTTAATAGATAAGATCAATGCTTTAATTTGTTTTTTCTTGACTACCAGTCACTKCATAATACTGTGCTTATAGGAACCAAATCAGATTTGCTTTTAGGTCCCTRGACTGGCCAGTCTCTTGCTTAACTCTGATTTCCTAACTCTGGGAAAGATGTCACAGAGGTTTTCAAAGGTTCTGGCTTCCAATGGGCCCAGCTCTAACATTTTGAATCTGTAGGTTGGAGCAAATTGCAGGAGGGCTCTGCAACCCAGGAGGCCACTTTAAAGCCAGCATTGGAATATGAAGCTGTCAGGGATGACACTGGCCTGTGAAATCACCTTGATTAATGGAYGAACTGGACCATCCYGCACTTCCAGAAAGATGGCAGGCTSTGGGAGTGATGTGTMTGCTATTAGGAATAAGGAARAACAAAATAARGRAATACTAAATAATAAGGGAATAAGGGAAAACTAAAGCAGCAGAGGCACATTTTCGGTAGGACYCCCAACCATAAGCAAAGCATTGCCAAGCATTACCCTCTCGTGACTCCACGGGAAGTTTTGTCAYTGACACGGCTACAAAGAACTTTTATGAGAAGGGAAGGCAGTCCTCAGTTTGGATGTGGTCAGCAAGAGCATCCAGCTTGAGCAGTGCTGCCCTGCATGACAACGGTGCACTTTCCTCAGTGAAGCATTTTGTTCAGATTGTTTAAGGATGTAATTAATCAGTTCCCCCTTAGTCCTTTGAAGTTTATTAAGCATAAAGAATAAACTTTCCAGAGCAGGGGAAAACTCAACCCCAGGCTTTGTTAGAATAACAATTGTTTCAGGGAATGTCAGATTTAAACTTAGCATTGTATGTGGGAGGGCACAGTTCAGCTAATTGCCAAAGAGCTCTGGTCCACTGCAGATGTAGAATTGGCTAAAGCTGGGCAAATGTTTRTGAAAATACTATTATTCTAAGCAGCTTAGAGGAAAGAGACACCAAAAATGATCCAGGGGCTTCAAAGGGATTCACTTTTCCCCTTAAAGTTGGTTATGTTTACTARTGTTCCAGCTTRAATATCAACTCTTGAGTCAGCTCAYGGCAAATGAAACTAAGGCYCTRAAGTTTTCCTTTTGAAAATGGAGACCATGCTTCTTAGTCACATCAGGATGTTTATAAAGGGGACTTTACAGTAGTYCTCTTGTGAACTAATCCTTGGCTTTCATGTAAAGCTTCTGCACAGCATCACTGTTGTTAGCCAGGGCTTCAGGTCCTGGATGGCTTTGCAAGCCCAGCCAGGTTCTGCTTGTCCCAGGGCCAGAGCACGGGCCCCAGAGCAGCTTTGTGCACCTTTGTTCCCTGTCCATGAGCCTGCCAGAGGCTCAGCTGCAGCAGTCCTCAAGGAATCAATGATTTTTTGGGAGCTACAAGAGGGCAAGGGCTGTCTGGCCACGCCTCTGTCCTCTGCCTGTCCTGAAGATCAGTGGAATGTGGGAGGCAGGASCAGAGGTAGCTTCCCATCCAAGCATTCCTCCACAGCAGGATACTTCATCCAGCTCCCGTTTGACCTCTTGGGCTGCATAAGGAGCACCCATTCATATTCTCAGGATGTCATGTTGTTTATGGCTCATTAGAACTCTGCTTCTTCAAGCACTTTAGCAGTAAGAATAAGAAGTGTGGGTAGCCTGGGGAAGAGACAGTTAAGAACTGAAACAAAATAGACTTAAGATTAACCTTATCATCAGATGAGTGTTTGATTTGTATTTAAATAATTTGTTTGTGCAGAAATTATCTTTGAATTGCTTGAATCCTTGTGCTGGTAGTCTTTGGTAGTCTTTATAATAGTCTTCTGTCTATTATAAAAGACAGAAAACAAAATCAGTGAATGAAGTCAGTCAGTTCATTTAGCTTTACATAATGTTTGAGATAAAACAGTTTTTTTTCCCCCGAAGTATCTATAGGTGCAAACAATAAATTTGAAAAAATTGTACCATTATGAAATTAGAAGACTCCAGCCATGTTTTGGCTTTGGAGAATAATTTCTGCAAAGGAAGGATTTTGCCTTTGTATTGAGCAAAACAGATACACCTCTTACCCTGTAATATTTAATGATGCTAGCTATCTCCTCTTGTTTAGATTAAAATTACARGCCTCAGATTGCAAGTTGTAATATTTGTTTTCTTCTGATTGCTGCCTTTAGCTCCTCAGTAAATGCCATTGACTGCTCTGTGGGTAACTCCAAAGAAGCCTCCAGGGCTGAATATATTAAAATCCACAGCATTCCACAGAAAATGACAACATTCTCCCCAAATTGCCCCCACAGTTTTCTACCAGCCTTCTTTATGAGCTGCAGGCAAATGAGAATGATCTGTTGTGCCTTGTCCTATTCCTGTTTTTCTTCCTGTTTCAAATATAGCGGAATATATAAAATAATGAAGTGGTATTCAGAAACAATCCTTTTGCCAGGTCTTCCATCTGTTGTTCTGTATAATCCTAATTTCTGTACAAAAAAAACAGAACCATGGTATGCAACTCAATATGTTACAAGATGTTTATTTTCATCAGCATGGTCCAATAAAGTACATAGCTCAAATATTAACATTGGAGTACGTTAAGATTTCATTAGTATTTGATCTATATATTTTACAGACATAAATGGATAAAAATAAACAGCTTGTAACATATAGAGTTACGGACTATGCTTTTGTGGATTTACAGAATTCTGTGGTGGATTTGGATTTTGCAGCAGATTTATTTTCTCTAATTCAGTTAAAATAACTATGTAATCATTATTTGTGCTGAGTATGGTTTGAGCTTCATTTTCATAATTCACCRTGGGATTTGTCTGCATAACTTCTTGTGGTTAATGACCCTATATTGATTGAGATTCTCCTTTGTGAGTCTGTATTGCTTGTGATTTGATAATGAATCAGTCAGATCACTCCATTTTAGAGAGAAAGAAAATAGACATAGTGTTAACTTACAAAAAAAAAAAAAAAGGCACCCAAATCTCTGTGAACTCTGTATATTCTGTAGGGGCTTTTATAGTGCTTGTAGTACATGCTGTTCTGAAAGTGTCATACATGCATTTGTTGTTGTGAACTCAAATGCTGTAAAATCTGTAAAGATGCAAGATTAAATTTTCCATTGCCATTTTTACAGATAACAGCCCGTCGACAATGGAAACATATTTATGATGAATTAGGTGGTAACCCTGGAAGCACAAGTGCTGCTACATGTACTCGCAGACATTATGAAAGGTAAGATAACAAATCTGAAATGCTTGTTTAATAATGAAAAAATTAATTTGGAAAGCCTTCAAAGCGTTTTATAAAGAATTAGAGAAAAAGAGAGGGAGTCTTAAAGATTTAGTAAATATTCCCCCAACAGTTTAGTCAGATAATCCATTGTAATTTAAACCAGAGTGCCTGTCTCCAGTGACTAAATAAATAAAACAAGCATCTGATTTTTCTTTGGTATGATCTTAATTTTCGCAACAGCTTTCTAGTTAAAGAAGCTGAAAAATGGAGCAAAATGTACTCAAAGAAAAATAAGAAATGGCAGCTAACTGATGCAAACACTTGTCTTCTGTCATTTTTTAGGAATACCAATTAAACAAATTGTGGTTTCGATCAAAATAATGGGGTGGCCCACAATGCAGGGTGCTGTTAATGTTGTAGGTCATGCCGAGCGTTGCATTCCTCTTCTTCATTGCATTCCTTCCCTCCTCCCTGCYTGCGAGCTGCTGCCAAACACTCTTTCTCTGCAGCCATTGTTGCTGGTCAGAACTGTTGATTTCTTATTCTTCCCATGTAGATAATAACTTCCAGGGCTTGTGAAGCCAGCACACATTGAATAAAATACTGGAGCTGGAATGTTGTTTTGGTTTGGTTTTTAGAAACAACTCTTGGGGCTTTTTCTTTCCTTTTTTCTGCTTTCTTTTTTCTTTTATCTTTCCTTATTTCTTTTTCTTCTATTTTTTTTCCCTAAGACAAGCAAATGTGAGTAAAAGCTCAGCAATTTTCGGCTCAGATAAGGAAAATTCAGTCTGTTGTTCCTGAGCATAAACAAGTTACTTTGCTGTGCTCAGKAAAAGATTGTACTTGACTGTGCAGAAGGTGGCACGGCAAAGCTGCGCTCAGTGGGCAGTTTTTCTCCTTAKTTCAGTGCCTGATATGTCAGCCTCTCCAAGGGAGATCTTTCCATCCTTATGGAGGGTGGGGGTTTTGATCATGTTCATTTACAGGAGGTATCTCCAGCAGAAGGGCTTGGGTGCACAGAGAAGTTGCATGAAATAAATGCCATTATAAAAGTTCGAAGCTTTCTGGAGATGGAGCCAAGCAGCAGAGCAAATGGAGTGAGCTGCTGTGCATGTCAGACAGGGCTTTTCCCTGCCTTCGTGTTGCAGACAAATGTTATAGATTGTTTTATTGACTCATCAGATTGTGGGTATTCAGCTCTTCCCCTCCATCATTATAGCCCTAAGAGTCTCAGAGCTTCCTCTTGCACCCAAGCCAGCTGATGGGTTTCCAGCCAGCAGTCTGGCTCTTCCCTCGCCAGATGTTCTTTGGGGGATGTAATTTGACAGAGGAGACCCAGGCACATATGAGCATTAGGTCTCTGTGGGTTTGGACTGCAGAGGGAGTGCTGCTGAGCTCTGTGTTGAAATCCTAGATTTACTGAGAGAGCATATCTCTTGTAGTTGTGGAAAAATAAATGAGCCATTCACAAATACTCTATGAACCCCCGTCTCTCTTCTGCTTTCCTGTCAGTGTTTTATGCTAGTGGTTTTTTGTTGGTTTTTTTTTTAGCACACAAAACCCTTGCATTGCACTCCCATGTATAGAGATTCATGTGTGTGACTGACTCAGCAGTTACTTGGGTATGCTGTGAAGTGCCAAAAACCCATTGTGCTCACTGGGAAACCTGAGCAGACTCATGATGCCTTTCAGATTAAAAAGCCTTTCCAGGCTACCCAAAAGCAGTTCTGCTTGACTTGACCTGGTCTGAGGAATGAGTCTTCCAGTTTATGATTAGATTGGTCCTGGTACATSGAAGAACTCAAATCTGAGTTCATGGATGCCAGTCTGTCGTGTAGTTCTGSCTTAGGTCTGATATGAGCACCTATAGCATCCCTGACAGGCTGTCACAAGATGGCATTTGGAGAAAAAATCATGCAGGATTTTTTTGTTAGCCCTGTGCTTACCTAAAATGTGCTTTACTAAATCTGGTTTGAAAAAATAAAACACATACAKAAAATGCCAGTGACTCGTCCAGTCTCTACCTTTCTAGTGTTAGATGCCTTTTTTCCACCACAGGAAAGCTGTATTAAGCCTCAGACTTRGAAAAAAGTAAATGAAATTGTCATGGTTTGTTTCAACTGGTAATTCTAACCACAGCACCTGTAAATGTAATGCTCATTTATAGCCAAAGTGCTCAGATGACATTTAATCTAAAACKAGAACTGCAGTGCAGGAATACACACAGGCTTGTGATTCAGGACACACATACATTTTCAAACTGAAGGTGAGCTGTAAAGCTAAACTGGAAATTGAATTAAACTGGAAAGCAAATGCTGAGTGAATCTCATCATTTTTCCTTTCTGAATCCCACTGACTTTTCCTTGCTTACTGGAGTCAGAACAGGCAGTTCCCTGCCTTCACTGGCCCTGTTGCTGTTTGACTTAGCCTCGCCATTCATCTCTACAACTGGAGCTCAAGGCCATCCCTACTGTGTTAACCAGCTCTCTCCCAAAGTGACAGAGGAGCTACTGGCTGTTTGCATCAGCTTCAGGATATCAAGGCTGTTGAGGTGGCAGCACCTTTCAGTGACTCCCTTAGGATGCTGATGAGTGGAATGGCACGTATGTCCCAATTCAGGCATCGCACTGCACCTTCCTGCCCTCTCTGAGTTTCCCTTTGCAAGGTGGAGTTTTACTCACAATTTCAAGGGGCAAAAATGGAGAGAGAAAAAAAAAAACATTAACAACAACCAGTGAAACAAACAAACAAAAAAAACCAAAAACAAAACACCAGCATTGGAGAAGGCAAAACTGTCTCTGGCAAATCCCATGTAAAAATGCTGCTTTCTCCAAAGGTGTTTATAACCTCTGCAAAGCCACCATGTGGCTGCAGATTCATGGTATCAAGAATGGCGAAAGCTGAAACAAAGCCAGATTTAAAGGCTTTGGGGAATGTATTGCTCTGCCCCCCTCTGTTTAGAGCAGGGCTTGTGGTAGTTGCTGGTGTGCTGTRGGTAGGCAGTGGGGGCAGCGTTTGCTTTGTTTCCCTGGTAAAAAGGAAAGAAAGGTTTTGTGTGCATTTTCAACTGATTCATTTATCATGTAACATGGTTCGTGTTTCCAGTAACTGTTTTCATTTTAAAGTAAGGCAAGGCTGCCAGTGTTTCAGTAAGTGTTATTTGTATATTAGTTAGACAAGTTTTGTTTTATTAATGAATATAATAATGAAAGTGCAGATTTCTGAGTAGAAGCAATGGGTGTTTTTATTTAAAGCATAGCAGGCATCGCATAATGCCAATGAATGCGTTATTGTCACTGTAGGCATGGCTGGTCTGGACCTGCCTCTGATTGGGTTATTCCAAATAAGCCCAAGCACTTCATAAAAATGTCTTTGTCAGCCTAGTTTTCCTTCCAAATCTATTCATCTCTGTCAGTTTTTAATATTAGTACCAGGCTCTTGGCTATAGTCCATTAGTAGTGTACTTAATTGCTCATGTTACAGATGATTACCAATATAAAAAGCATTAATGTTTTCCCATCATGGGGATGTTGCTCTGTGCACGAGTTGGACTCTACAGAGCTTATGAGGTGTTGTTGTTTTGGTCGTTACTTTCTTCATTTGTACTTCTCTAATGCACTTACCTCTCACGATCACAGAAAGCCAGAGGTATTTGTGGTTGGTATGAGCTGATTCAGCCTGCTCTGTTCCTGTGAAACTCTTRCAGCCCTTGTCAGTACCGCACATCTCTCTCTTATCAAGAAACTCTCAGAAACGGCTACTTTTCTGTGAAGCACTCTGYTCCATGCTGCCTTCCCCTAATAATGCAGATGTGGTTTTCACATGCAGAGTTTGAGGTTTCTTTTCACTTTTACACAAAACACATGATCGGCAGCTTTAACTTTCTAGCGTGAGGAGTAGGCTGTGTTTCTGCAGTGCCAATGACGTTGTTGTTAGGGATGTTTTTGTAATTACAAAAAATTATACCACTGCACACCCCCCCCAAAAAAAAGGAAACCAAAAACCCCAACCTGCTAGTTTGCAAGGTATAAAAAGTTCCCAATAAAATGCGTTGAACAAAACAAAACAAAAACACTAGTAACTGGCTGTTGGGGCCTCTTTCTGTCTCCAAGGCTGACTGTGATTCATCTTGGTTTCCTCCAGGGCAAGTCCTGTGCACGAGCTGTGCACAAACACACATGGGCTGGGGAGCTGTGGTGAGCAATATCATGCAGTAAGTCTCCTTGGCCTCTCTGGTGGACAGACATGTCACYGTGGGATGGTGTCATGGCAGGCAGCTGATGGTGCCATAGACCAGTAGTTTCCTGGCCTCTTTGGGTGCTTCAGAAAGCTGGGCTCCCTACAGCAAGGGATGGACCCAGAGAGTCCCATGGCCCAAGTCTTCTCAACAGCAGCGTGTCTCCTATGCTGGCCCTCACAAGTCACTAACATTTGAAAAAACAGTGTGTCCTGGTCAGACCCAGCTGAGGGCAGCTTGTTAGGCCTTGTGCTCTCACCAAGTTAAGGCAGAGGAGGGCAATTATTCTGCAGAGCCACCTTGGGCTTGAGGAGGAGCAGGTAGGTGAGTTGTGTTTTAGTTCTTACAGTGGGGCAGAGTGGGCACAGCCACTCTTTGGACACTGACCTGCAGAGGGGTTTTATTCTGGCTGTCAGCGTGGCCCCTGGGCACTTGCAGAGCACCCTGCATGCCTGTCCCTTACCAGGGGACTAAACCTCAGGAGATACAGTGTTTTGTACTATTCAAAGCCCATTATGCCATTTTTCTTTCTAAATCGCTCACATAAAAATTACATTTTATCAGAAACATGAGGTGGGTCAAAATAAGTCCCTTACACAATTTCCCTTTAACAGCTGTAAAGTCTGTCTGCCCTAAGGATATTGTGCAGTAATTCAATATGCAGGAGAGCCCTGTGTTCCATGCAAATGCTGTTTGGTTTTCTAAAGCRTTTGGATAACTTTCGTAACGTGTAAGCATTTCAGTGGAGTTTTGCAGGAAATAG